AGAATAACAAAACTAGGTGGCTTACACTATAACGTATCAAGGCTGATTATAAATCTATAGTAATTATAACAGTGTGGTTGTTGGACAAGGTCGACCTATAAGAAAAAATTGTAAGTTTGACTCCATAAAAATTAAAAAAAAAAAAAAAAAAAAAAACACTGTTAAGAGAATGAAAAGACAAGCCATAAACTATGAGAAAATATGTGTAAAACACTGACATGAAAAGGGATGTGTATCTAGAATATATAAAGAACTCTCAAAACTCAATAATAAAATTAAAAACTCAATAAAAATAAATGGACAAAAAATTAACCAGATACCATGAAAGAAGGGATTCAGATGACAAATAAGCACACAAAAAGATACAACATTAGGGAAATGTAAATTAAAACCTCATACCACCATATACCAACTAGAATGTCTAAAATTTAAAAAAAAAAAAAAACAGCCAGGTACAGTGGCTCATGCCTGTAATCCTAGCCCTTTGGGAGGCCAAGGAGAGGGGATCGCTTGAGCCCAGGAGTTCAAGACCAGCCTGAGCAACAAGACCCTATCTCTACAAAAAATAGAAAAATCAGTCCGGTGTGGTGGCATGCCCTGGTAGTCCCAGCTACTCAGAAGGCTGAGGCAGGAGGATGGCTTAGGCTCAGGAGTTCAAGGCTATAGTGAGCTATGATCATGCCACTGCACTCTACCCTGAGCAAAAGAGTAAGATCTTGTCTCAAAAAAAAAAAACCACAAAAAACCAAAGGTTGATGAGGATAAGGAGCAACTGGAACTCTCATAGATAAGTAGTAGAATTACAAAAAAGAATGGCCACTTTGGTAAATAGTTAGGCCATTCACCATACTCATCAATTCACACATTTTTATAGTGACTTTATTCATAATTGCTAAAAACTAGAAACACCCCAAATGATGTCCTTTACCTCGTAAATGGATAAAGCAACTGTACGTATAACAAAGAACAAACTCCTGATTTATGCATCAACATGGATTAATCTCCTATACGTTATGTTAAGTGAAAGAAGCCAGATTCAAATGGCTATATACTGTATGATTCCATTTCTATAATGTTCTGGAAAATGTAAAACTACAGGGACAGAAAACAGACCAGTGGTTGCCAGGAATTGCTAGTAGTAGGTGGATTGACTTAAAATGGGCACAAGGAAATTTTCTTGGGGGTGATAGACCTATGTCTTCATTGTGACAGTGGTTACACAGCTGTATGCATTTGTCAAAATCCAGAGCTGTACACTAAAATGGTGAATTGTGCTGTATATACATCACATCTCAAAAAGGCTGTATTTTAAAAATCAAAATAAAATTACTTCTAAATTAAAAAGTAATCTCATTTTAATAAAGCAGTCCCTCTATTGATTCTGGGAAGATGACTTAATTTTCTTTATTCTGCAGTTTGCAGGAGGTATTTATTCCAGGCTTGAAGCACAAATCAAGGCCTCAATGCCAGTTAGTGCACGGCAAAGCAACTCAGAGAAAAACACAAGGTAAATCAGCATAAAATAATCAGAATGCCACTGGCTTTGAAGTGAATTTTTTTTTAAGATAAATCATGTGAACACTAGAAGCACATAATTTGAGTTTGGTTTTATGTTTTGTTTCAAGGATTAGATTATCAAGGCATTAATCAGAACCAGATTTTAACTTAAAAGTTAAGATTTAAAAAGGGCTGGGGGCGGTGGCTCACACCTATAATCCCAACACTTTGGGAGGTGGAGGTAGGAGGATCACTTGAATCTAGGAGTTTAAGACCAGCCTGGACAACATTGTGAAACCTTGTCTCTACAAAAAAAAAAACTAAAAAATAAAAAGGTCAGCCGGGCGCGGTGGCTCACGCCTATAATCCTAGCTCTCTGGGAGGCCGAGGCGGGCGGATTGTTTGAGCTCAGGAGTTCGAAACCAGCCTGAGCAAGAGCGAGATCCTGTCTCTACTAAAAATAGAAAGAAATTAATTGGACAACTAAAAATATATAATAGAAAAAATTAGCCGGACATGGTGGCGCATGCCTGTAGTCCCAGCTACTCGGGAGGCTGAGGCAGGAGGATCACTTGAGCCCAGGAGTTTGAGGTTGCTGTGAGCTAGGATGACACCACAGCACTCTACCCCGGGCAACACAGTGAGACTCTGTCTCAAAAAAATAAAAAAAATAAAAAATAAAAAGGTCATGAAGACAAAATGTAATGGAAAGTATAAGTGTTCTTTTTTTTAAGTTTTCTGTTTATTGGGCCAGCTTCATTCTCACCCATCTCCTGATAAAAATGTATAGTGCTACTATGAGTTAATGGTGTTTTTGTACTGTTTGTAGATTATATATTGTTACTTTATATAAATCATTGAAGTCTTTACCATTCCTTGTTTTATTATTTTCTTCCTGTTAATAAAATCTAGCTGGTGAGGCTTGTGCCATTTTACATCACAAATTTTCTGTTAGAAATCAGTTACTAAGATTTGAACATTGATATTGCAGATCCTAAAGCTTTATATGTAATTCTGAAATCCAGAAGGCTCAGAAAGCCAAAAATTTTTTTTCATACATTTATAGCAATTCAAACTTGAACTGAGCTGCTATGATGATATTCATAGTTTTTATTTATCCCACTTAATGTACATGTTCATTTGCTGAACATTAATATACTTGATTATGGAGCACTGCCCCAGATTTATAATATACAACCATATTACTTCTCGAAAATTTAAAAAAAAAATCTGAATTCCAAAATAGATCTCATTCCAAGGGTTTTAGAAAATGGATTTTGGAGCTACATGAAGATTCATAAGCTTAGATATTGACAAGCAAACATAATCTAAAGCAGTGGCAACTTCCTTTTGTTTTAGAAGCAACTCTGACCTTCTTTTCTGTTTAAAAACTCTAGGTCTAAAAGTCGTTTTGGTCAAGGGCGTCCTGCATAAAGCACCTTTAAATAAAACTAAAAAGACAGAAGGCACACTCCTGGTATCTGAAATCGCTCACTTCTCGAAGATCTTCAGAACGATGACTTTTAAAGTTTTAATTTTTTAAGTTATTGATTATTCTTGCAAGCCACATAAATCATAATGCTAAGAGAAATATATAGTTAAGTTTTTTGAAAATCTAATTGTAAATATGAAAATTCTTAAATCTAATTTTCTTTTAGTTATGATTGTAGGCTATGTAAAAAACAATTATTTACAAATTTGCATAGTTAAGACTCCCAATATTTGTTTTCCTTTATTTATTTGAAAAAGAAGAGGCCTAGACTATCAAATAATTTTTTTAAAGACCTTAAAAAATTAGAGGAACACAAATGGTAGTGTTATCCTGCATGTGCACTGATCGTAGGATGTTGTTTGGATTGTAAGTGTTGGGATAGCATTGAGAACTACAGTTTGTATGATGAAATTCCCAATGATGCTAATTTTAAGTTTGCATGAATATTAAGGAGCGACAGATCTCAAGACTGCATTAAATAAAGTTTCAAGGTGAGGTATTTCAATACTGTGTTGGGCAGAAGGGTTAATTTTTTTCAGCATTATTCCATGGAAAGTACAATGTTAATCCAACTTTTTTTTTCTTTCAGTTTTTAATGCTTATCATTTGGTCATCTGAGCTGGAGTTACTGATTATTATCTCTTTCTTCTGTGAAACTAGTGCCATTCTGAATTTGTTAAAATAACCATTGATAGTTTTAGGAGAGTAAATCATTTCAGCTGTATGAGACACCCACTGTACAGTTCTCAGGGCTCTAAGACCTAACCATATTTCTGTAGCCATTCAAATAGCCCCTTTAAACAGTTAAAATTGCTAGTTACTTTAGAGATGTCTAAGAAATTTCCAAATAGATTAGATGGGTGAAAAATTACATATATTCAAGAACAATCAAAATAAAATTCTATTTTATAGATCATGTTTGAATTTTTCTAACCGGACAGAAAGAGTGCTCAGGGAAAATTTGTTCTAAACCACAAGCATATAATAATTTATGTGTTTGGAAATTACTTACATGTAGGTCTCTGAAAAACTTTGATGCACTGTGTCTATTTTTTAGTCTTCATTTGCCTATAATTAAAATTTATTCAAATTACTCAGAGAACAGACTTTGATAATTTGTGACAAAGCAGCAATTTCTATTGAAATGTTGAAGTGTTACACTCAGTTTACACATATAGAAATCATTATTTTTAGTGAGTGTTTTAGTTGATAAATGAAGATAGATGTTATTTGATGTTAATGTATAATTTTGCCAAGGTTTTTGAACTTCTGTTTAGAAATTTTGTTCCCCTTTATATTTGTTTCGATCGTTTGATAGATTATACATAAATAGATTATACATTTTTATTTTCAAAAGAAAATGTTTTGTAGTACATTATGTGTGAGCCCTGTTAGATACCAGGGTCTTGTTGGAGTTTACTGTATTCTCTGATGAAAGGATTTGGGTTTGTACATGTAAATGGTGCTGTGATGACACCAGAAGAGGAAAATGTGCCCTTTTGATTTTTAACTTGATAAAAAGGCAAATTGCTTCTCCCCTGGGGGGACTGTACCACTGAATTGATTTTTACAAACTAGAATTTATCAGAATTTGTTTTCAGAATGTGGTTTTTATTTTGTTAATGTCTGTAGTACATAAAACAGGTACCACAGACATTTTACTCAAACTCTTAATAGCATTTTTTTTGCCAGATACTTTGACGTTTTACCTTACATTGATTCTGAATTCACATTTCTTTAATTGAAATAAACATTAATGACAAAAGTTGTTTGGAAAGTCCCTCTATCTGAGTGATTCCATCTTCTCAGAAAAAGTCTAGATTGGCTCTAGATTTCACAGGTTTTCATGGAAAATAAGCTCTGTTTCATGGCGAAATTTTTTAAGTTTTAAGATTGTTTTAAATGAAGTTATGCTGGTAAAGACTCAGCAAGACGTCTAAGTGATAAAATACTGCAGAAAAGATGATAAGGTGATCTGGTAACAGTGCTGATTACACACAATTGCATTATTTTGCTTGTTATTTTCCTTCTTCATAATACCTCAGCCAGGTATTGTAAGATATGCTAACAGCTTTGGAAGCTGAAGCTCAAGCTCTGTCATGGTCGTCTGCTAAAGGCACATTATAATATAAAAATAAAGAAAAATGCCTTTTATCGCCAATACCCGGGATTAATTCTTCAGCCAGCCTTCAGCTGTTCATTGAGCAACTGTTTCACACCTCCCAGGAAAAAGGCACTGGAATACCTAGCCAGTGCAATTCTAATAGGCTAACTCTCATTTAAAGCTCATCTATTGCAAAAATGATATAGATTAAGATTATTCCCACTCTTATAGGATTGTTCGGGGATTAAATGAGTTAATAGAACCAAGAATTAGCTAAGTACTTTCTGGCTTAGAATAACCCCTCCATGAATGTTAACTATTATCGTTGCATTATTATTTTAATATTTGGAAGATAGCCTAAATTCTTTGAGTTTGATATCTCTCTTCCTATAACTTGAGTTGCTAAGACTGGTAAGTGTGTATGTCTGTGTGTGTGTGTGTGTGTGTGTGTCTCTTTAGTGCAAGAAAGAAGGCAACTAATACTTTGATGGTTACTCTGACATCATTTGAAACTTTTAAAAATTATATTAAATGTTTTGCCTTATTTAGGCAGAGTAAACAGCATTTGTAAGAAAGAGCTAGGTAGAGAATACTGTTTCCTGATATGTGGCAGTAACCTATGCTGTTTTCATAGAGAGCTTACTGACGGACAGTGAATGAAGGCCACAGCATAGTCATAGCTAAGTTATATCTTTGCTTGAGAAAATATAGCTAGTTTGACCAATTCTTATCAAACTAGAGGTGGGCATGGTCCTAGTAGTTGCTATGGGTTGAATGCTTTGTATATGCTAAGGATGGTGCTATTTCCTTATTTCCTTTAGCATCACAACCCTCCCCCCAAATCAGGTATTATCCCCATTTTACAGGTGGAGAAGAAAATTCAGAGAGGTGAAGTAAACCACACAATGGGATTGGAATCTGGGCCTGTCAGCACATTACAGCACCTTCTTGAAACAATTTTCCCTTAGATTGCCTAAAGCATTCTGTCAGAGTGCCTCCTGCCTCACTGGCAGCTCCTTCAGGCTGAAAGCAAGTGACCCCAGCTCACTTCCTGTAATTTCAGACTTGTTAACTAGCTGCCTACTTAACCATTTGTACTTGAAATACCAGTAGGTATCTCCAACTTAACATAATCAAACAGATCTCGTGATATATCTCTCTATTCCCCGCTAAACTCCCTGCTTATTCAAGCCTATTCTTTCCCAGTTCAATAAATGGCACTACTACCCACCCAAGTGCACAAGGCAAATATCTAGAAATTGCTCCCTGTTTCCTTCACTTTCTACACTCAGTTGGTCAGCAAATCCCATACATACCCCGAATCCATTTGCTTCTCTCCATCTCCATTATCACCAGCTCCAGTCATTAACCTCTTTTACATGACATGCTACAAATGCCTCCTACGTAATTCTCCAGCTTCCGCTCTTACCTCTGTATAATTCATTATGCACAAAGAAACTATAGTGGTTTTAAAATGTGAGTCAGATCATATCACTCTTCTGCTTAACCCTCTAATAGCATACCATCAAACCTAGACTAAAACCCAAACTCCGTATCTTGGGTTAGCAAAGTCCTGCATGGCCTAGCCCCTGGCTGCCTCTCAGACTTCTTTTTCCATCTTTCTTACTACATTCTAGTCATAGCTTGTCTGATCTTCCAATGAGTAAGCTCATCCCCACCCTTCAGTTCCTTCACATTAGCTATTCCTACTGTCTAGAAGAATCTTACAATTCAAAGTTTGGTTTAGATGTCACCTCCTTACAGGAGACCTTTCCCGTGTATGTAATATAAAATATCACCCAGGTCACTCTCATCACATCATCATCATTTATTTCTGTGCATATCTGACATTATTACTCTGATATTTTTCTTCCTTTACGTGTTGGTTTGCAATCTGTCTCCCATGCTAGAATGCGAGCACCACAAGAGCAAACACCTGGTCTTCACTATTGCTGTGTCTCCAATGCCTAGAACAGTGAGCAGAGCAGCTGGCACCAAGAAACTTTCCTCTGGGAGTTCACACTGTGGGTGGTGCCTCCCAAGATCTAGACCGTCCCTAGCCATGGTTGATTTTAATTTGCACCTGTTAGAGCCTCAGCAGATGGAGGCCTTGGCATATATCTTGTCATGGGTTCTCAAGACTACTCTGTCACCCTATAGAAAGATATATCAGGTTAGTTTGTTGCAGATATGAAACATAAACCTGGATGAGTTCTGCTGAAATCTGGACAGCTTCAAGTTCTCAGTGGAATAGAAATTTAAATAAGCTGACCTGATGGCCACCCCTTTCTCTCAACAATATATTAAACATGAACAGTTGGATAATGAGCAACCACTGCAGCACTTTACAGGGAAGATGTAATGAAATTATGAGCATCTCAAAAGCTCACCAAAGTGATTCTTTTTTTTTTTTTTTTTTTTTTTTTTTTTGAGACAGAGTCTGGCTCTGTTGCCCGGGCTAGAGTGCCATGGCGTCAGCCTAGCTCACAGCAACCTCAAAACTCCTGGGCTCAAGCGATCCTCCTGCCTCAGCCTCCCGAGTACCTGGGACTACAGGCATGTGCCACCATGCCCGGCTAATTTTTTTCTTTCTATATATATATTTTTAGTTGTCCAGATAACTTCTTTCTACTTTTAGTAGAGATGGGGTCTCGCTCTTCCTCAGGCTGGTCTCAAACTCCTGAGCTCAAACAATCCACCCGCCTCGGCCTCCCAGAGTGCTAGGATTACAGGTGTGAGCCACCGCGCCCGGCCAAGACAAATCATCACTTAACAAGAGAATCCCAGTAAGAATAGCTGACTTCTCATCAGAAGCAATGGAGGGCAGAAGGCAGTGGGATAACATATTCAAAGCGCTCAAAGAAAAAAAAGATGTGTCAGCTAAGAATCCTATCTTCAATAAAATTGTCTTTCAAAAATGAAGGCAAAATGAAGAAATTCCCAGATAAACAAAAATTGAGA